AAACGCACGCCTACTCCACACTTCTGCGGGATTAATCTCCACATGTGAGCAAAGGAACGCATCAGAGTTTGGATGGCTCACGGCCGACGGGGGTTTGTGTGTTCTCACGCACAGGCACCGTTGCGGTGCGGTCGCACAAAGGACTTTAATCGCTGCATCCGCTCCGAGGCCTCTCTGCGGTGGTTGTTGTTCCCACAGAGCTCCACACACTCACACATGCATTTTGCCACCCAAGTTGCCATCTGAGCTCCCATATTGTCTTGAATCCATCAAGCCCGCCGCCCCCCCGGATCTAAAGCCCTGCTCCTCCTCTGGAGTGTTTTTGTTTGCACTCCACGACCTCGCTTTGATTCTTTCACTTTTTTTTTTTTAATGAAGTTTGGCAGCAGACCAAGGTTGTTGCTTAATGACTTTGTTACTGTACAGACAGGGTCAATATGGAAGATTGGGATGATTGATTTGAATTGATTTGACTGCAGGAGGGGGGGGGTACAACACATCCTCACTTCAGTGTTCAGGGACCCGAATCGTAAGCCTTCATTTGTGCCGCACATATTACTTCAATTTATTTCCTGATTTAGTCAACGCTGTTCATCAATATTCTGAAAGCATCCATGATTTTATAAATGCATTTTCCGTTTCACACTGAGTGTGTTTGACTGATTAGTCTAATCTTGCCCTTGAGCTGGACGCTGAAGTCAGCCTCAACGCTTTGCTAACTGACCTCTGACCCCGTGTGCAGGAAAATGGGATCAATGCAGGACGACGTCATTAACAGAGCTGCAATCAGTCCATGCAACTCAACCGTCTGCAACTTCGCAGTGTTTGTTTTCGCTTTGTAAACACTAGTAAAAAGAAATGCGTGGGGTCTTTTCAAAGTAAAAGTCCGTCTTCACAGGACTAGCCTTAAAGTTTTAATTTAGTTTGGAGTTAAATAGCATTTTCTTCAATCCTATTTCCTCTGCTCCCCTCACCGAATCCACGTATATATATTTGTGCGAGTGTCAAAAAATAATACAAATAGAGAATTTAAGTATTAAAGCTATTTTTTTTTTTGGAGCTGCAGCTTTAAAGAAGCACAACCTTCACAACCTGCAGCCGCATGACAAGACAGTAGTGACCGTTGGGTTCGGTGGTCGGATCGACACCCGCAGGTCATGGAACCCACAACAAGACACATCACCACTGTGCTGACTTGTGTTTGCGCGGTTGTGTGTTCGTCCCTGCCAAGTCAAAGTCGACCTTCACCTCGACACAGCCGGTGTCTGCGGGGCCCTTGACCCCCCCCCCCCCGCCTCCCACGCGAGGTCGAAGTACTTCTAACATATTTCTTTAGCAATAAAATGGTGTATAATCCCACTTCATGAATTGAAATCAGTAGCTGGGGATATTTGTCCCTTTAAACCGGTTTAAACATGCCCCTCATATGTATCTAGTTCATATAATATAATGAGAATAGTTGACGACGTGACTCTCTCTCTCTTTCATAACTGCAGCCATTTCCGTGATAATGGACATCAAATTATTTCTGACTTTTTGATTGTCGGAAGTCATCCATGCACATATAAGTATACTGTGTGTGTGTATGTGTGTATGTGTGTGTGTGGGGGGGGGGGGGGGGGGGGGGGTGTTAATGGGCTCATTGGATGCTCCAGTAGACCCGGGGACCACTTTGAGCTCGCACACAACCCTCATTTCTATTTTTCCGTGCAGTGGTTTTGGCTCAAGATGTTGTTTGTCACACACTCAGTTGCTCACATACACACACAAACACACACACACACACACACACACTTTCTCACCCAAATATAAACATGCATACGTTGCCAGTTTTGTGATTTTTAAAGCATGAGTGAGTGAAGGGAGGCCTGATGTGTCTGCGTGTGTAGGTGTGTGTGTGTGTGTTTGTGTGTGTGCACCTCGGTTCAGTGCGCTTCAGCATGCACTCTGCTCATAAATAAAGGCCATGCATTATTCAGGGATGCTCCTCCAGCTAATGCCCCTTAATGTGCCCAAACAGCCATGATGTACTCTGCTACCAAGGTGGCAGAGACCCCTTCACACACACACACACACACACACACACACACACACACACACACACACACACACACACACACACACACACGTCAAATCTCCACCCCGGGGTTTGACACAGCGTCTTTGTCGATGTAGCTCTCAGCCTCTTATCTCCCTCTCAAATCGCACCATGTTCCTAATTTTCTCCCGGATAAATCCATTTAAGCTTCTGGTCCAAATTGCGCCAGCGGCGCGCTACGTCCCCCCCCCCCAACTGTCCAATTTGTCCCTAATTATCCATCGGCAACCAACGTCTCCCATCTCCCACTCCTCCCCCCGCGGTCTGTTTCATAAAAAAAAGAGAATGCGTCTGAGTACCGTTCTGACGCCCCCCCGCCTCCCCGCCCCCCCACCGGGTGACAGCTTTCTGCACAATTAGGATTGTGTCTCACCAAGGATTTGGAGCTGTGGAGCTCCAGCAGCGAGGTTCCCCTAAGTGCATAATCCAGTTTTGGGGGGAAATTAACCTGATTGTATTTTTGGGGTATATTGGAAACTGTTGAAACGGGTTGAAGACGGTTGAAACGGGTTGAAGACGGTTGAAACGGGTTGAAGATGGACGCTTTCGTCGACAGAGTTTCGTGTTCTAATCACTTAGTTATTGATTCGCTTGTTTACCGTCTGTGGTTTTAATTGCTTTGTCGGTTTGTAAACCTCTTCTGTTTTGTCAACAACAACTCAAGTTCTCAATTGACGGTGTATTTTTTACGAGAATCGATGCCCGCGTGAAGCATTTTGTTACTGTGGATTCTGCAGTTTGGCCTTCGTGGAGCTTCAGAGCGACTTGTTTTTTCCAACTTCATCACCCGACCACGCTGTGAGGGAGACAACGGGGCGGACCACAAGCCTGAATTGATACTGCAAACTTTATTACTCCTGTCTGGACAAAGACAACGTAGAACCGATCAACTCTTTCTGTTTCGGTCCTTTCACAATAAAAGCCCCATACCAGACAAAACTCAAATTCCCTCAATTCAGTGAAATAGCTTAACAACCGTTGGGCTGAGGCAGGTTGCTGTGGGTCAACGGGACCCCTGCAGTGCGTCCTCAGCCTGCAGGGGTCCACTGGTGCAGATGTACTGATGTAAATTATTAGCTGGAAAGTATTTTTGGATGTTTGTCTCCTTTATTTGACCTTTGTGTTCATCGGGCCGCCGGCATAGTTCCTAGAAACGCCACAAAGACCAAGTTTACCTCGAACAGGCACAATGAGTAAATGAGCAACAGTTTGCAAACAAGTGAACTTTATCAACTATGTATGTGACGATGTGTCGATGTTGTGTTCAAGTGGCCTCAAATATGAATTTAAGTTTAAAGATTCAACCTTTCGTGGTTTAGTTGTTGAGATTCCTTTACTTCTCTCACACCAGTGTGTGTCTATCAAATGTCAAATCTCAAGGCTGCACATCTCCTTGTCATTCCTGTGCTTTCTATCGGAGGCTTCTACTAATTTGTGTTTCTGAGGTATTTGTGTGTTACACCATCGCAGATTTAACGGGATGGTTAACCGGACGCGCCACATCTTGGTGTAACATTAACCTCTCGGCACATGACGCTGACCGCAGTTTGTTTTGAGGCACACACAGACACACACAGAGACCAGACAATGAGTCCATTCATCTCCTGCCCGTCTCCGTCCTCCTCCTCATATTTATAAACACGGTGAAGGTCAGAAACACAGAACCCAACATGTCGGATCAGCTCGGGTCTGATTAAGTCAGATTAAGCTCTTCGGGTATTCAGACTCTTCTTCGCTGACTTACGTGAGAGCGACTTGATGTGCGGGCGGTCAAACTTAAGCGCCAGTGAGCTTAGTTTAGGACGTTTAGAATAGTGACCTCGCGATTATGGAAGCAACCCGAGTGAACAAGTAGTACGACCCTCGATGAGCTCAACGTCCTCAAAGACAGTTTAGAGCTCCGTTACCTGAGCTCAGACGGTTGTTTGGGGGGATTAAGATAAAGCAACAAGTGCCGTGTTCGTATATCATAATTAATAATAATACAGCTCATAACTGTGATAATAAAACAATTTAAGTATGTTCATAATGGGCGTCATGGAAAGGTTTTATAATAAGTCCCGACTGTAAATGATCAATAATAACAATCAAGCCTGAAGTGTTTTTATATGTTTGATCTGACTTCTGTCATCGGGGAAAGTGAAGGAACAAGCCGCCTTGTTCTCTTCTATTCTCGCCCTCCACAGCGGCGAGCATCTCTGAGAGACTCAAAGGGGGATTCAGTTTCACTTCCCTCGCGCGCCGCTCCGTCTCCGGGCTCGGATGCACGCCGGACGCACTCGCACACAAAGAGAAGGAAACTTCTTCCTCACAGACGAAAGGAACCTCAACGTTTCCCCCCATTTATTTCCTCGCGCGTCTTCTTCTCTCGCCCTGGACTCCCTCGCAGGTCAGGTCGGGGGCCACGGAAGCCTCCGGAGACACGAGACCCCACGGAGAGGTGACACGAGGTCAACTCGGCTCAGCGCGGGACTCAGACTGCGCGGTGAAGAAGGTAAGAAGCGAAGGAATAGAGATGAATAAAACAAGTCCTACCTGACTGACGTTTCCCTCAAAATGTGCCTCCTATTTCTTCTTCCTTTTCCTCCTTCCTTCTCGTCAGCTGAGGCGTTTGTGTGTGTGTCTGTGTGTGTGTGTGTTTGTGTGTGTGTGTGCGAGCTGGTAAGAGCGAGACTGAGTTGTGCGGCCGACCCCGCTGAGCTCGATGTTGCAACTGACAGAGTGAGCGAGAGGGAGGGGATGTGTGTGTGTGAGTGTGTGTGTGTCTGTGTGTGTGTGTGTGTGAGGGAGAGAGATTAGTTCACACACAAACATCTCCGCCTCAGGGAAACACCCCACTCTCTCCCCTCCGTCCTCCTCGTTTTCATTCTCTCCTTCTTGTCGTTTTCTCCACATCTCTCACCTCAGGTCTTTTCTTTTCTTTCATCCGATCACCTCGGAGGACCCGTGCAACAAAATAACGCTTTCCTCCTCCTGCTGCTCCTCAGGCAACGCTCTCCTTAGACGCCAGCCGTTCCTCCCTCTCAGTTTTAAGCCTCCTCTTTTGTTGCATCTCCTCCCTCACAGTCATTTAGTGTTGCTGTTGAGTCCCCGGCATCATGAATAAGTCAAAGAGGCAACGGAATAAGCCAAATATCTCCGCTTTTATTTGACTCCTTATCAGTGAGAAATGTTACTGATGTTTTTCCACAGCGTGTGCTGAGAGAAAAGGAACAAACAACACGTGAAACGAACACTTTGAATTACAAGAATGAGTGACGCGTTTTAAAAAAGCTCCCATCACAAAAGCAACCTCAAAGGAGTAAATACATCTCCATGTGCCCAAGTCATTTCTGTCCAGATGTGAGTCTTGAAAGCCTCATATTCTGATAGAGAGTTCTGAAAAACCTGCTTGCGCTGTAAAACGTGTTTTTTCAGCGTCGACTCAGAAGTCTACGAGCGGTTGCTGCACTCGAACCGAGACAAAACTCCAGACAAGTCCTTTGGAAATCGAGGTAAAACATTCGTACTTTCCTGTGCTTCCTTTTGAAAGAGTTGAAGCCAGAAAATGACTCAATCAATGAGGGTTCTTTGAAAAACACAATTTAACGTCCCAATCGATACCTGGACTTGTTCGAGAGACGAAAGCCGAGCACATGAGCGAACGCGGACTGTTAATACGAAACGACAGCCGGCAGTTTAACCTTGAAGAGACCCCTACTCAGTTCTCTTTAAGCCAATCATAGCGATTACAGAACCCAGCTCTAGCCGGCTAATCGGCTCCGGATCCGCATTAAACTGCTCCTCGGGAGGCCGAGCAGGCGGGTTGTGCATGTTCATTTAACGCGCGGCCTCCCGAGGAACTTGCAGCGCGTTTGAAATTCAAAAAAACCACAACCTGGAGTCGGAAATGCACACCGTCATTTAACGGCTTCCCATCCAGATGTTGGGATGTGAGCCAACAAACACCCTCCATGATGAAAACGAGGACTTTAGCCTCATATTACACCCCATCTACCAACAAGTCATTTCATCATTAGCAAATATCCCCCAATTTTCTAAAATACTTTCCTGACAATTTCTACTTCGTCTCTGCGTTTGTCAGGAATCAGGAATCAAGAATCAGGAATCAGGAAACATTTATTTGCCAAAATATGCTAAACATACATGGAATTTGTCTTAGTGCGCGACAGTAGACAGACAAGACAACAGTGCACAAGTAATAAAATAAAGTAAAATGAAATGCTAATGCAATGGGTTAGTAGAATAAGGCTATGGGTTAGTATAAAACAAGGAATAATGTTAAAAACTTTAAATATTAAAAAAGTTAAAAAGAAAAATATTAAGCATAAA